TGTAGAATTAACTTGGACAGGTGCCGTATGTATAGTTCGATGTGGTCTTCTATTGTATTGTTTAATTAAATCTTTATAAACATTAATCCATTGATAATTGCCATTATAACTAAACTCTTTCCACATCATTCCCTTCAATGTTCTATTGAAACGTTCAACAATTGAAGCTTTCAATACGCTGTAATTGGAGTAGTGATTAATTGAAAATTTTCGCATTAATTTGGAGAATTCCTTGTTGAAAAATTCTTTTCCATCATCAGTTTGTAAATTCTTGGGAATTTTTCCAGCTTTTAAGATTGCTTCAAAAGCTCTATAAACATCCGAGGCATTTTTGGATTTGAGTGCTTCACCCCATGCATATTTGGAAAATGTATCGATAACTGTAAGCATAAATCTATATCCCTTGTTTGCTTTAGAGTAGTTACCCATTTCTACTAAATCAGCTTGCCATAGATCATCGATGCTTTTCGTAATGACTCTTCGTCTTTTAAAATTTTTTCGTGCTTGAGTGTGAAGTTCATTTACTACTTTTCTTTTTTCCATGTTTCAATCTATATGGTATATTAGGGCAGGTGAATTAAACGGGTGCTGAGATAAGATTTTAAAAATTTCGTTTTGGGGTTTTTTAGTTGTGATATTTCTTCTCTTATATTACTACATTCATTAAATATGCCATTTTTTAATATTTCTTGTAAGTGCTGGTTTTGTGAATGTACGTATGATTGGTTGACTGCATCCGTCCCTTCCGATGGGGGAGCCAAGTTCTTAATCTTTTTATTTTGTATGTCAATATTGTTATCATTGTCAATATTGATTCCAAGTATTCTTGAAACATGTCCTCTTAATGCTATCGAGGTGTACTTTTGATTATAATGATGTCCAAATTTGTCAACTGTCATCAATTAGTTAGTATATTATTTTTCCCTCACGTAGTTCTTCGATAATGGAAACAATCTCATTCGTATGATTATTGTTTCCAGCTTGTTGCGATGCTATCAACAGCCTTAATCGTTCTATCAATTCATTTGGATTGTCCCAGTATATATAGTTCGATTTAACTTGATTTACTCTCATTAGACCTTTACCAGTGTGAGTAACATTCATTAATTTCCTAATAATGTGTTTGTATTTATATCCTTTGTTGGATTTAATTCTTTCATCAGCATTGTAGTTTATCTTATGTGCGTTGGAGTCCAACAAAATTTTTTTATATATATCTAATTCTGATGAGTCGTAGTTGGAGGGTTTTTTATAAAACAGAAGTTCAAACAGGCCAGGTGTAAACGCCCAACTTTGATTTCCAATAGTGATTTTCTGATCGCTAATTTTTAGTGATTTATTCCCAAATTTCCATTCTCCATTAGCTTTATGTGGCCCATAAATTGTATCTAATTTTTTGTTATTGTTCAAGATAGAAAGATTAATTGTATCCTCATCATTATTCTCAGAAAAAAATGTGTCATCATTTGACTCATAACTGTAATCTGGTTGAAAGTCTTTTTCGTGTTTAACATCTTTGGAAATATTTGACTCTAGTTGCATATCTGGTTTATATTTTTTATTAGGAGTACTAGTCATAATAGACTCTTTATAAGGATTCATGTATTCTTTCTTATGAGTATTGTTTGTCGATCCCTTTTCATTTGATAATTTTAGTAGTTTCTCTATTGGTTCTGTAATAGGTTTAAATGTGTTCTTCAATTCGTCGGCCTTATCCTGCTCACCCATTTTAATGCTTTGAAACTTTCTTTTCAATACATTTCGCGAGTGAACAAGGCGTTTCAACATTTCTCTACCATTACCCATATCAACAACATGTGATACTGAAATATATAATTATTTATTTTGTGGAATTATATTAGTTTTCTTACTAGGGATGTATTTAATTAGTTCTTTTATAAAAAGATGGCAATCGTATCCAGAAAAATTGTGGAATAAAATAGGAATGAATGTTGGAACTGTATAATTTATATTGCACTCTTTGTGTGCAGCTCCCCTATACCGACCCGTTATATGACAATGATCATGAACCTTATCACTACCCAATTTTTTGTCGCAAATATGACAAATTTTTGCATTTTCAAATTCTAAAATTTGAGATGGCGTTAATGGCGTCATTGGTTTTTTAACACTCAAATACGTATTAAAAATTTCCCTACACTTAGAATTTAACATTTCAACAAATTTTTCTGCTTCATCCCTAAATAATTCATCTAAGTTACTATCAAAATTACATTTTACATTAAAACTAAAGGCACAAGGTAAATGCTTATTAATAACAATATCTAAATTGTCTACCTTTTTTAAAACACACTCAAAATCAGCATATATAACAAATGGAACATTCATTTGTTTATGAAAGTTCTTAAATGACAACGTTGATTTACCTTCTTCGGGCATTTTTGCAATAACTTTACTACACAAATCCCGATGACGCTCCATAAAATCATATTTGCTGGTGTAATATAAACACTGATTGCAAATGTGTAAACGCCTTCTGCAATTCGTTAACTGATTATTTACCAACCTAAAATAAAAAAAAAAATAATTAGTATAATATTTAAATATTTGTTATTTAAATGTAAAACTCACCTAGATAAAGATTTGATTAGAATGTAGTGAGATTTTCCATCGTTTTCTAATAGCAGCAAGTTAACATGTTTGTCCTTTTCTTGTTTCGTAATATAATAAGGTCCAACGACTGATTTTGAAGAATACTCATAACCAAAAACGTTTACACTAATGTTAGGATTTTTTTCTTCAAACAATTTTATATACTTTAGTTCCATCGGAAATTCTATTCCTTCAAAGTTTAGTGTTAAACCATTTTGCAACGTAATAATAGATGAATTAATATTATCTATGGCGTATGAAGAACATTTTGACGGATTTAATGGTTGTGAAGTTTCCAATGCCGCTATCAAACACCATTTGAAACAGTAAATGTCTCCATTATAAATATTGATACAGACTCTTTTATTTTTTAGTTCTTTAGGTGTGGGTATATATTGGGAACCTCTTATGGGTGAATGCTTGTTAATGTTGATTTTCAAACTGAAAACCTTTAACAGGGCCCAACCGGAATCCCGTTCTTGGAACTCGGACATCTTCGTTTTTATGTAATCAAAATGATCATTTAATATATTGTCAATGTTATCAGCTCATTCAAGTTCCATCATTTTTGAGTTGTGGTATGTTTTTTTAATTATTATGTTCTCGTTACAAGGTTTAACATATTCTCCACCCAACTCTAAATTAAATTTGATTCTGTAATGACGATTTAGTGCTTCTTGAAGTTGATTAATAAGGGATGCTTTTGCCCCCTGAAATATTAAATCAACTTCTATTGTATCTTCTGTTATTTTATATTGAAAGGTTTGGATTCTATTATTGAATCCACTTACTACTAGCATCATATCGCTATTTACACCAGAAGTCGTTCCTTGTTTCATGCCTTCAATTTTATTTTGTTGTTGGTTTGATTGTTGTATCTGTTGGTGTCTCTGCCATGTTCCTGAAGGTTTTTGATTCACAGCTTAATTTTGCAGTTGATAAAAATTTGGGTGATACACTTCATAATGTAATTTTAAAGCCCACTTGATTGCCAACATTTTCTTACATATTTCACAAACTTTATGTAACATCAAATGCTTTTTAAGTGCAGCTTTAGAACTCAACGCTTTTGAGCAGAAATTGCATTGGAAGCTTTCCATTGTAAATACGTTTCAATGTTTTTCTCACTTTTAGTCTATTTTTATAACTTTATAATTTTCGTTCACTTTTCACTCTGAGTCTCTTTTTGGTTTTGCAGAAAGTATTGAAAATCACTTATACACTGTAAAAATCACTTTTTACTCAACTGAAAGTGGAATATAGATTCTGTTCATAAAGTTGCTATAAATTTGCCCAACACTGTTGGTTGGATATTTACCGGCGGCCGCATAAATGGCATCATAACAAAATGATGTAAATAATGTAAACACGTACACATACACACATACATTTATGCAGCCACCGGTAAATTCCAATGCTGAATTCCAATAAATAGGCATCGTCAACAGCCAAAACAGGTTTGATGTGACGATGCAAATTGGAGAATAGTTAGTTCTCACCGAATTTTAAACGCGATCGCAAGTCTCAAGTTTTCCCCCCCGAGTGACAAGTGACAGTGAACAAATAAACGCTAATAACAATTTTTACAAAACACAGTGAACATTCAAAGTACTACAAAAAGCAAAATTACAAAATACAAAAAACATTACAAAATTGTTAAAATATTTTACAAAGACGTTCCAAAACATACAACAAAAAGTGAAATTACTGTACAAAATACATACACCTATATAATAAAACTTAGATGCTAATAGTTGTATTTAAAACTTAAAATCTAATGAACTAAAACTGAATTAAAATTTAAAGTACAAAACTAAGTGAACTAAAACTAAAACTAAACTACATAACTTAAGCTAATTGTGATATATCTAAATTGCACTACCCGAAAATAAAAATAATATACGAGAATAAAAAACAAAACTAATTTTTTACTAATTTCAAAAGGCTCAAAGGCAAAAAAGGTAAGCCTAAAAACATTTGGTCCTCCAGAGCCGGATTAAAAAAGTGAAGTTTTTTAAATTATTAAAAACGAAAAAAAATTTTGTGAGTGGACGGACAGAAAAAAAAAAAAAAACAGTGAAAAAAGAACAGTGAAAAAATACAGTGGGGTGCAAAAATAAGTGGAAAGTTAAAAAAGTTTTGAAAAAAAAATACAATAAACTTTGGAAAAATTTTTCAAAAAAAAATAGACAGTGAACAGTGCAACGAAAAGAGACTATACACAGTGTTACAAAAAAAATAAAATTTTTAAAATTTTAGAAAAATTAAATTTTTTCTTCAATTTTAAAAAATATAAAATCTAAACAATTAATAAAAAGTGATAAAAAGTTTTTTATACAAAAGAAGACAATACACAGTGTTACAGAAGAGACGTTAAAAAGTAATATTCAAGAGACAATTTACAGTGACACAAAGAGCAACAACCAGGACAATTGTGGAAACAGCAGCAAAGGAGAAGCGGACGGACACGCGCAGCACAACAACAACAAACAAGGTACAACATCGAGACCCGGAAAAAAAAATCCAAAGTGAGTACTCGTGAAATTTTCTTTTTTGACACAAAAGGGCATTTCGGGAGCAAGCAAATCTTTAATATTTGCATTGACCCGCATATTCCCATAATTTGCAATAACACTTTGACCCATATTCAAAGCTGCTAGTTGCCCACTCTGACACAGTGACTGAAAATTTCCCAATTTTGAGCCATTTTTCTGGACGGACATTTGGCTTTTGACCCGGTAAAAAACAGGCAGACATATTCTTTTCTGAAAAACGGGAATTTTCAGCCATATACAAATATATATATACTAAAAATTTTGGAATTTTCTGAACGTGGAGTTCAGGCGAATACATAAGCGCCATATTGACACAAACACATAAGCTTTAAACTTTGGAAAATTGGCGTCACCAAGAAAGCACATAAACGCCATATTGCAACAATTTTATATACAAATTTTGAAACAAAGCGTCACTTGCAATATATAGTCGCCATATTTTTTGGACAAATTTGGCGTCATCCGAATACATAAACGAGTAAATAAAACCCGTTTAAAAAATAGCGTCTGGTGGACAGACGAAAAATAACCTAAATTTTTTTGAAACATTTTTTGAAAAAAAAGCAAGCGTCTGGTGGACAGACATACATGTTATACAAAACCAACAAACGTATTTGAATTTTTTGAAAAAAAAAAAAAATTGGCAAACAAGCAAGCGTCTGGTGCACAGACATACATGAGAAACTTAAACTACAAATTTTTTTAAATTTTGGAGAACAAATTATATATCGGAGTCTGGTGGACAGACATACAATCGATCCCATATATTTACAATTTTTTATTTTTATTCTAATTTTAACCTTTTTTCCCATTTAGCACAATATTTATTGCTCTAAGGAGCTTAAAAATTTTTCTGTGACCCAAAATTAATTTCTTGCATTTTTCGCAGAAATATTTTGCTGGTATACTTTTTGATTTTGTGACACATTACACGACTTTTTGGGAAAAATTTCTTCCTTGGATTTTTTTTTTTGCAATTTCTTGATTTTTGCAATTTCTTGAATTTTTCTGCAATTCCTTGAAATTTATGCTGAAAATATTTGGATTTTGACCCAAATTATTTTCTTTTGAAATATTTTGCTGGGACATAAAATTTTCCGCTGAAATATCTGGACCTTGACCCAAATCAAATTTTTTGGAAATTTTTGCTCAAATTTTTGGATTTTTGACCCAAATTATTTGTTTGAAATATTTCTGCTGAAATATTTGGATTTATACATACATAATTTTCTCTAATTCTCGTTGCGAATTTTATCGAAAAAATTTGGCGAATTTAGAAAATTTGTTGAATCAGACAAATTTTCACAAGCAATAATCAAAGTTATTGGTTATAAAATAAAATCCTCCTTTCATAGGATATTAAGTGATTTTAACCAAAAATTTTTAAAATTTTTTTCGACAACCCAACACACATTTTTACTTCGTTGAAATTTTTTTGGATTCTCTGATTTTTTTTTTGGAATTTTCAACTCCTCGTTGACAATCAAATTAGACTCTCGTTTTTTTTTTTGGAAAAAATTGTTACTGAGCAAAACATCTCTGGTAATTTCTGCTTTGCAATTCTCGTTTAAACACTTTTGTTTTAAAAACTTTTGATTATTTGTCGAATTGCAAAAATAAAATCCTCCTGTAAGTGGACTTTAAGAGATTTTATTTTCCTTTTTGCTCATTTTGGCGAAAATTTGACCCTTCTGGCAACCCAGCAAACATTTGTAATCAAGTCAGTCCGGCGTCAAATATAAAGAAAATTTTTGAATTTTTGAAAAAAAATTTTAAATTATTGAAAGGAACGAAATATAATTTGATTCAAACCAATAAAATAAGATCGTTTTCGTCGACAAATATTGGAGAAAGAAACTTATCCTCATTTTAAAAATAAAAATTTGGATAAAAGTTTAAATTCTAAACCCAGTTAGTCCTTTTCATTGGGCAACTTTTCTTTTTTGTAAACCAACAAAATTTCGTAAAGGTTAACGCTCAGTTTTCAAAATGGATAAAACTTTAAGCGATAAATTCACAAATTGCGTCAACGATCTTCTGGATTATATTTCAATTTTTTCAATAACCAAACCTGATGACACGGTTCATACTTTGGAAACAACACGAATGGAGTTGGACTCTGCATGGGACCAGGTCAAGAGAGCCTACATAGACTGTCGGGATTATGTTCCAGAAGAGGAAGGAAAGCCGATTGATAAAAATAAACTGAGGAAGCACTATATGGATACCATGGGATCGTACAAAAAAGCGCTGAGTTCAATAAATGGACAAATTCAAAATCTTTTGGATGAAAAGACACAGGAAAAAATGAAAAGAGAGTCAGAGATGTCACAACAAGGAAGGGAAGTGGATTTCACAAACGTATCGCGGCTACCTCCATGCGATACAGACACATTTAAAGGTGGTTACAGAGAATGGCCGACTTTCAGAGATCTATTTTCGGCAATTTACATAAACAACTCAAAATTAAGTAATGTCGAAAAATTATTCCATTTGACGCAAAAGACAGCAGGAGAAGCAAGGGAAATTATTTCACATGTCCCACTAACTAATGATGGATTTACATTAGCATGGAAAAATCTCACAGATCGTTACGAGAATAAAAGAATGCAAATTAATGAAGAAATCAAGACACTTTTCAATCTACCTGGAGTTTCTGCTGAATCAAGTCACTCTATTCAAAAACTACAACGCACGGTAAATAGCAGCATTCAGACACTGGGGATACTTGATGTCGATGTTAAAGGATGGGATCCGATCTTAATATACATTTGTTCAACAAAATTACCTAGAGGCTTTTTAGAAGAATTCGAGAACTCATTAAGCGATTGTAAACAAATTCCAAAAATGGGAACAGTTTGACGCTTTCTTAACAAACAAATTCAAAACTTTGGAATCAGTTGGAAATATAAAGCCCTCTACATCGAAATTTGCTCAACAAAAACCAACTAACAATCACACGCCTAGATTTTTGAAAACATTTCAAACAAATGTCTCAAAAAATACAAACAACTTTGGAGGAAGACCTACTAATGTAATATTACCTCAACAAAATAAGCCGAAAAATACTCAAACTTGTCAAGTCTGCAAATCAAATCATTTCATAAGAGATTGCAGCGAATTTTTGAAGAAGAGTGTGAATGATAGAATTCACATCGTGAAAACTTCACACTTATGCTACAATTGCTTGTCATCAAATCACGGAGTAAAGGATTGCAAAAGTCGCTTTGGTTGCCGTATTTGTACTATGAAACACAATACTTTGTTACACAAGGGAACGGAAACCCAAACAACTAACTCATACCTAGCTCGAGTGGAAGCACGACCTAGTATTAGTGCTGCCGCTCTTACAAATCAAATACAGTCCACTACAAACCTAGAACCAACTACTATTACTACTTTGACCCTCCAAGATAAGCAAATTTGTGAGCGACAATCTGGAGGAACGCTACTTTTCACAGCAATAGTACAAATTGAAACCAAAGGACAACTTTACGATGCCCGAGCTCTAATAGACTCAGGATCACAATCCACCTTTATTTCGGAAAAGATGAAAAACTTTTTGAAGTTACCTACACGGAACAACTTAGTTCATGTCACTGGCTTAAGTCAATTTGTTTCTGAAACTTCAACAAAATCTTGCTTGTTTACTATGAGATCCAAATATGACCCTAGCTTTAAACTGGAAGTTTGGGCTCCAGTTTTAAAGAACTTACCTTCAAATCTACCACCACAAAACTTAGATGAATCACAACTTCGAGATGTAACAGCATTAGAACTGGCTGACCCGAAATTTTACGTTAGCCAACCAATCGATATTCTTATTGGAATGGACATAGGACCATTAATATTTACAATTGGAACTCCAATGAAAACATTTGGATCAATTTTAACACAAAAAACCAAATTTGGATGGATAGTTGGAGGACCCATACCAGGAAGCATCCTTCAACGAAAACAAATATCACTTCTAAACACAACTTCAATAGAGAAAGTACTTACACGTTTTTGGGAGGTGGAAGAGACCCCTAAAAAAGTTTTACGGTCAGAAGAAGACCAATTTTGTGAACAAAATTTCATTGAAACAACAATACGGAACAAGGATGGAAGATATGTGGTGACTCTCCCATTCAAAAAATGCGAGGAATTGGGGAATTCCAGAAACATCGCCCTAGCTCAATTCTACAGAATGGAGAAAAAACTTATGAAAACACCAGAGATCAAAGAACAATATGATGCTTCAATACTTGAATACTTAGAACTCGGTCATATGAGGAAAGTCAATCCGAATGAAATAGATAAAATGCCAAATTATTATCTACCACATCACGCTGTGATAAAACCCGATCGACTCACAACGAAGTTAAGAGTCGTATTTAATGCTTCTTGTCCTACATCAAACAAAACAAGTCTCAATGACATCCTATATCCTGGACCCATTCTTCAACAGGATTTAGTATTGCAAATTGTAAAATGGAGATTTTTCAAGTATGCCTTCAATGCAGATATAACAAAGATGTATCGCCAAATACTTTTGGATCCAAATCAAACAAAATATCAAAGAATTCTCTTTAGAAAGTCTCCGGAAAACCCAGTAGAGGATTATGAGCTGCTGACAGTTACATTTGGAGTTAACTGCGCACCATATTTAGCATTGAGAACTCTTCTTAAACTAGCAGAAGATGTCAAAGAATCATACCCTAGAGCCGCAAATATAATTTTGAATAATTTGTATGTTGATGATGTATTAGCTAGCGGCCACACTGAAGATGAATCAATAAAAGCTCGAAAGGAATTAACTGCTGCTTTAGACTCTGCTGGTTTTACACTAATGAAATGGGCATCAAATGATCGCAAAATAATACAAGATATTCCACATGAACATTTGCTACCACTCAATTGGCTAGACATTTCCGAAGATGCTTCAACTAAGACCCTTGGAATTCGATGGAATATCTCAGGCGATTATTTTTCGTTTACACCGCCCTCAATGGAAAATAAAAATGTATCTTCAAAACGAGAAGTTTTATCAACGATAGCCAAATTGTTTGACCCATGTGGATGGCTGGCACCGGTGGTCGTCGTAGCTAAGTTAATAATGCAACAAATCTGGCTAGACAAAATTGACTGGGATGATCAATTGAAGCCAATAACTCAGATGAACTGGAACAATTTCGTCAAAAATAGCAAAGATATTGAATATCTGAGAGTTCCTCGATGGATTCAATACACGCTAGATGGTTCTGTAGAGATTCATGGATTTTGTGACGCGTCAGAAAGCGCATATGGAGCCACTCTTTATATTCGGGTGGAAAATACTGACCATAAGACGCATACATACTTATTAGCAGCAAAGACTCGTGTCGCTCCTATTAAAAAATTATCAATACCCAGACTCGAGTTATGCGGGGCAGTATTACTATCAAAATTAGCTAAATCCATTGTGAATAGCCTACAAATATCAAAATATTCGACACAATTTTGGACCGATTCTACCATCGTCTTAGCATGGTTAAAAAAGCCTCCTTGTCATTGGAGCACATTTGTTGGAAATAGAGTCTCGGAAATTGCTGATAATGTTGGACAAGAAAATTGGAGACATGTTGATTCGGAAAATAACCCAGCTGATATTGCGAGCCGTGGATGTTCGCCTGCAGAGCTAAAGACTAGTGATCTCTGGTGGCAGGGACCTCAATGGCTCAGAATGCCAAAAGACCGTTGGCCATCGTATGAAATACCAAATGACACAAATTTGGAAGCCAAAACGGCAAAAGTCATGACCCTTTTCGCGGAAAAGGAAGACCCTTTAAAAAATTTCTCCTCTTTATCTAAAATTTATCGCTCATACGCATATGCCCTAAGACTCTGGAAAAATACTGGAGTAAATAGACAACACCTTCGCACTTCAGCAAACGACCTTACATCAGAGGAAATCCAAGATGGAAAACGATCTTGTATAATTCGTACACAAAAATTCGTATATGCAGACGAATACAACGCACTTATGAAAAAGACTCAAATTTCTCCTTCAAGTCCTCTGTTGACACTCAACCCATTTCTAGACTCAAAGGGTATTATTAGAGCAAATGGCCGATTGGTACAATCGCCAGCCCTTACCTACAGCGAACGTCACCCAATAATATTACCACATGGCGCAAAACTTAGCAAATTGTTAGTCGAATTCACTCATAAGGTTACTTTACACGGGGGTAATCAATTAATGACCCGAGTATTAAGGTTCGAATTCTGGATATTCGGACTCAAGTCGCTTATCAAACAAACCATACGAAAATGTCGAATCTGCTTAATTCACAAAAAACAAACCCAAACTCAAATAATGGCTTCGCTACCACCTGAACGCACTTTTCTTTCTCGACCCTTTACAAACACAGGGGTAGATTTTGCAGGACCCTTTAACATTAAAAGTTATTCAGGAAGCGCCTGCTTTATTACAAAAGGCTACGTGTGCCTGTTTGTTTGTTTCGCCACTAAGGCTATACATTTAGAACCAACAAGCGATTTGTCGACATATGCCTTTCTTGCCGCTTTTTCTAGGTTTATTAGTCGGCGAGGTTGTCCGTCTTGTATATTTTCGGACAACGGAACAAACTTTGTGGGAGCGGTTGATCTATTAAAGCGAGATAGACTAGCTTTCATGAAGAATATTCAAAATAGCACAATTCAAAATAATTTCACTCAAAATCTTACTTGGAAATTTATTCCTCCTGGTGCTCCGCACATGGGCGGCTTGTGGGAAGCTGGCGTCAAATCATTTAAAACTCATTTACGAAAAAGTATCCCAAAAATGAATTTCACTTTTGAAGAATTTACAACTATTTTATCAAGAATTGAAGGCTGCCTTAACTCACGACCCTTAAGTCCTGCTAGCGACGACCCAAACGACCTTTCCCCTTTGACACCTGGTCATTTCTTAATAGGAACACCTATTCTTACCCCAGCTGAACCAGACATTTCAGATACAGATTTAAGCTTAGTCAATCGTTGGAAAAGACTCAAAGTTATTTCACAATACTTTTGCAACAGATGGAAATTAGAATATCTTCACGAACTTCACAGAAGAACTAAGTGGAAATATGAAAAGGAGAACATCAAAGAAGGAGATTTAGTTGTCGTAAAAGATGATAGATTGGCTCCGCATGAATGGAAGTTAGGTCGTATCGAAAAAACGTATCCAGGTAGTGACCAAAATACCAGGGTTGTAGACATACGGACGGCAAGTGGCAACATTAGCAGACCCATTACAAAAATTGTCAAATTGTTTTCCGACTGACTAGTCGGATTCCCACTCAAAAAAGAATTTAGTACTCGCCTCAATTTCTTTTCAGATATGGCCGCTTACTTGCCTAACCAGGACTGCCGTCTGGACGATCGCAACCGTAGCCCAGACTCACCTGCCCGTCCCACAGCAAGAAGCGCCAATCGACCCATCCATCGTCCCAGTTCCACATCCCCTGAAAGGCGACAGAGAAGTCGATCCGACGTAAGACCCCGCCAACGCCAAGAAAGACCAAGCTACTGGCAATATTCATGTGGGCTCTGCCAAGATGACCATGCCCTCAGTGCCTGTGAGAGGTTCCGCAGACAGACGCCCTTCCAGCGGTATGAGACCGTGGAGCATCGGGGGTATTGCCGAAATTGCCTGGCGAGAAGTCATTTGGCCCCCGACTGCCCGTCTTTAACTGGTTGCCGGAGATGCAACGACCGGCACCATACCCTATTGCACGGGGCGTCTCAGTTGGACGAGGTATCCCTCAACATCGAGGCCATTACAACCCCAGCCTTCGCATGGGATTTGGTGTTTGTACCAACAGCGATGGTACGCATAACGGCCGAGGGCATGGAGGGGTTCAGTATGCTGCGAGCCATTATTAGCCAATCTGCGACGATGTCTAAGATTTCGTACGCCGCGTTCCGTCGCCTGGGTCTGCAGTCGCGGAACTACAGAGGGGAGCGATTCACCACCTTCACCGTTTCGCCCCGCCGCACAAACTCTACTTGGAGTCTGAAGGTAAATGCGCTAATAATCGAAGACCTGCCCAGACGCATTTACTCAGACCCGATACTTGAAGACCCCACTAGATGCTTTACAAATTACGCCCTTGCTGACCCTGATCCCCGAGGAAATAGTCCAATCGATGTGGAACTGGGAGCGGACACGTACTCCGCCATAAGGAAAGATGGGTGTACAGCAGCTGGAATTGGAGATGTCCTGGCGTACAACACTCAACTGGGCTACGTGTTTTCTGGGCCAATCAAGAACATGCCGAGGAACTGAAGACCGAGGATCCTTATGGTATATTAGAAATGAATACTTACACTTGTCATTCGGGGCCCAGAAAATGTTCATAAAGTTGCTATAAATTTGCCCAACACTGTTGGTTGGATATTTACCGGCGGCCGCATAAATGGCATCATAACAAAATGATGTAAATAATGTAAACACGTACACATACACACATACATTTATGCAGCCACCGGTAAATTCCAATGCTGAATTCCAATAAATAGGCATCGTCAACAGCCAAAACAGGTTTGATGTGACGATGCAAATTGGAGAATAGTTAGTTCTCACCGAATTTTAAACGCGATCGCAAGTCTCAAGTTTTCCCCCCCGAGTGACAAGTGACAGTGAACAAATAAACGCTAATAACAATTTTTACAAAACACAGTGAACATTCAAAGTACTACAAAAAGCAAAATTACAAAATACAAAAAACATTACAAAATTGTTAAAATATTTTACAAAGACGTTCCAAAACATACAACAAAAAGTGAAATTACTGTACAAAATACATACACCTATATAATAAAACTTAGATGCTAATAGTTGTATTTAAAACTTAAAATCTAATGAACTAAAACTGAATTAAAATTTAAAGTACAAAACTAAGTGAACTAAAACTAAAACTAAACTACATAACTTAAGCTAATTGTGATATATCTAAATTGCACTACCCGAAAATAAAAATAATATACGAGAATAAAAAACAAAACTAATTTTTTACTAATTTCAAAAGGCTCAAAGGCAAAAAAGGTAAGCCTAAAAACAGATTCCTTTTATATTATAGCTATACCTCGTATTGACAATATCATGTATTATTACGTTCATTTATTAAAAGTATCCCAGAATGCAAGAAAAGGTCCCCCTCCGCCTTTTCCTCTTGTATCCAAACATTTCGCAAACATATATTTGTTCCTGCCTTTCCCCTTTTTTACTCCTAATCATAGTTGCATAAGATTGCAAAATTCATTATGCTGTTTATCATATTTCTGTCCAATGGTTCTTATCAACAAGTGTTCGCCTCTTTATTTTTGGCGCCCATCAGTCATTAAAATCATACAAATCCATGCGCCTGTCTCCTAATACCGCTGACCATTTTTACCGATACAATTGATGCATGTATGTTGTTGTTTGTTGATATTCTCAATAGTCCCTATAGTTTGTTTCCCATATTTGTCCCCCTTCCGCTTGTAAACATTTCGGTAAGCTCCGCGCATGCCCAACACTCAACAATGCTCGATTTAACATAAACACATTGGTATTGATATGATCAGAAATAAACATAACTGCGTCTGTCTCTTCATGCCGCTGACCATTTCTATCGCTAACCATGCTGTTGTTGTTGTTATTCCCTATATTTTGTTCCACATATCTGTTCCCCCTTCCCCTTGTAAACATTTCGGTAAGCTCCGCGCATGCCCACATAGTTTGCCATCCCTAATATTCTTAAACCGAACGGACACACACACACGCACACACATTGCAATACTCAAGGTCAAGAGCGCGCCCACACACGTCGATCAACACAGTTTGCGAACGGAGACACACACACAAACACATACTTTGCCATACTCAGAACGGAGGATCACACACACCATTTGTAAACAAAAGCGCACGTGTTCACACATACACGGACGGACAGGTGATTTGTTTACTGTAATTTGATACTTTAATGAGTTTTTGACCATTTTAATGACTTTTGGCTAATCCTTTGTATTTTAAACCATACATCCTTATTCTACTAAAAGACGCTTTCCACAGTTTCCGTCCAAGTTCCCATATTTTTCCTTTTGCTGTCCACATATTGTGTTATGTCAGAATAAACCCACTCTAAGTAAGGTTGCATTCGGTCATACGTAAATCGTCATTGTTTGACATATTTAGTGGAACCCTGTTCGAGGCATTCGCATTAATAATTTTATAGAAAAAAAATTATTAAACAAGGCCAACGCAACATGTTCTGTAGAATATGGACGGCAGAGAGTATAAAAACGAAATCTAGAATTTAAATAAAATTCCTCCATAGCTGAAGTAAGAATAATTTGCGTTATAATGTTAAAATAAATATACGTTTTACTCTGTTTTATTTTCAATCCAATTCACATTGAGAATCGTAGACAATATTTCTTGATATTGTTCCAGAGATGATATATTATTTTACATTTTTTAGGTTAATAAGATATAATAATAGGTTAATTTTTGCATTATGGAGCCAGTTCAGCGGGCGATCGTTCCTAACTAAAGAAGGCTTTTATTTCAGATTTTGGTATTACCCTGTCTAGATAAAATTCCACATCAAGTTCATTATGTCCATCTAATTGGTCAATTTTTTTAAAATTTCAGACTTTTGTTTTATGCTGGTGTCGTCTACTGGATCTGCTCTTAACATTCTAATATCATCCTCCTCATGTCCAAGGGAAGGCTTTTATCTGTAGATTTTAAATTCAGTTTACGAATGTGCATTATTTCATGCTGGCTCTATTTTTTTCTGAGAATGACATATGACACTTTTGACATTTTACCAAAATCTGTTCATTACATTCAGCCACACTCGATTTAATTGCAGACACCCTAGTGGAATGAGAAACCATTTCCATGCTAGAACGATGACTTAACTCTGTTGCAGAATTAGATGTTGTGCCTTTTGGACTCATTCGTGACAAATGTGAAGATGATGTGTTACTGATTTGGTCCATTGAAGAATTGGAATCTTCTGAACTTAAATGTTGTGCAATCTTCGCCGCGGTTTTCTGAGCCTTTGCTGATCGTTTGTTATTTTCTTTCTTAAAGTAATGATTTTTTTGATGTTGAATAAGTTCATAATAGCGTTGACAAACTAAATGGCACATTTTGCATGTGTAGTTCATATTTTGTTTTTTATCTTCGTTGTCACAATGAGTTGTATATGGCTGCTTTTCATTATTTTTCGCTGTTTTTGACGTGCGTTCTAAAATAATGGATTATGTCATTAAAAAATCATTGAAAAAAAAAACAACTTACTTGAAACCATACCACAATTACCCGTGGCGACAGCAGTAAAATTTGCTCAAATACTCCAAATCACTATCCTTAGGATATGAATTGTTTTCAAAGAATTCTTGGAGTACTTTTATTTGATAATCTGTGAATCGTGTTCAATTTGCCCTCTTTCCCCTGAATGTCCTAATAAACCTTCCCTATGTAAGGTTACATTCGGTCATACGTTAATCGTCATGGTTTGACATATTCAGTGCAACCCTGATCGAGGCATTCGCTTTAATAATTTTATAGAAAACAAATTATTATGCAAGGCCAACGCAACATGTTCTGTAGAATATGGACGGCGGAGGGTATAAAAACAAAATCTAGAATTTAAATAAACATCCTCCATAGTTGAAATAAGAATAATTTGAGTTATAATGTAAAAATAAAAAATATATTCCACATTTTACTCTGTTTAATTTTCAATCCAATTCACATTGAGAATCGTAGACAACATTTCTTGATTTTGTTCCAGAGATGATATATTATTTTACATTTTTTAAGCTAATAAATCCACATATATGTAGCTTAACTTCGTGTGATCATCAGTTTGATCAAATCATTAACACATAGTTTCATTCCATATTCTTCTCAATTCTTTTCCATCAACTAACTTACCTCAATCATATGATTTGAAACCGGTGTGTTTTTAACTTTGTTAATAATTGTATGAAATTTGTTTAACATGGATCCATGATTTTCGAGAAGAATATCGGTGTTATATATTTTAATTAATACATTTGAACTGTATGTCTTTTGATTCAAAAAATGTAAAGCATTTGCAGCAATTTTTGCATTAAATGGAGAAGGCTTTCATTTTAGATTTTGGTATTACCCTGCCTTGATAAAATTCCGCATCAAGTTCATTATGTCCATCTAATTGGTCAATTTTTCTAAAATTGCAGACTTTGGTATATATTAAATATAATGAATAATATATGTAAATACATTAAAATACTGAATATCGGGATGTACTGTTATATCATTAATTTGAGCAGGGTAACATTATGTTTGGTTCATCCCACAGCGCTAGTTCTTCTTACCCTGCCCATTGGGCACATTATATCACAACCACACATTCATACCAAGAAAGGTGTGGTTCTTACCAAATTAAAGAGCGGGAAATACTGTATTCATATTTCGATTTATCGACGTCCGTCTGTTGAAATCACCATGCAGCGCCCATTATTTAACGTAGAGCTTCAAAATTTGGAACAACAATTTGTATTGTGTCTAGGATGGTTGTTATTGAAAATGAAATATAGCGTTTTCGTATAGACCCAATATAATATTATCTCCCGATATTCCGTATTTTAATGGTTTTGTAGGTCATAATGGGTTTTGGCTCCGGTGCCGGAACATTGTATGTATAGATCCACATTTTCATATAGACCCCATATGATCGAACCTACCGATATTCGGTACTTTGATGATTTTTTCCACATTTTTCAAGGATTTGTCTAAGAATGACAGTTGTAGGTCATAATACTTTCTACCTAAAAATGTTATGTGTAGTTCATAATGGGCTGCGGCTCCGGTGGCGGAACATTGTGCATGTAGGTTCACGTTTTCGTGTAGCCCACATACAACGGTACCTCCCTATATTTCGTATTTTGATGATTTTCGACATATTTTTCCACGGATTTGTCTACAAATTTATATTTGTAGTTCTTAATGTTTTCTTACCCAGTGGAGAGTGTCATATCCACATTTTATATTAATACATATTAACAACTCTATTGATATTTATGATCAGCAATTTCGAAAAATTCGTCTCTACTATAAAGAAGGCACCTCTTGAAAGGAGAACGGAAGAGTTCTACAAGAGCAAACTTGATGAACTAAGGCTGTTATGAGAAGGCAGAAAACAGAATTCGCGATGATCCATCATTGTCAGAGGATGATCCGTATATTGCTCGGAATCTATATAGAACGATTGGAGAGAAGTTCAGCTCAACAATGGAATATATAGACGCGGAAATAAAGAAACTGAGGTCAGCCAAAAGTAACATTATAGCACACAGTTCACTCCCACTACCAAAGGTAACAATTCCTCAATTCAATGGGGATTGTTTGAAGTGGCGTCAGTTCTATGAACTTTTCTTGGAGATGGTAGACAAACAGTCTCTTCCAAGTGTTCAAAAAATGTGGTATCTCAAAACCAATTTGTCTGGCGAGGCTGGCAAACTAATCAGTCATCTATCCTTGACAGAGGATAATTACAAAACGGCATGGATGTTGCTGCAAGAACGTTATAACAATAAGCGGGTTCTTGTTTCCACTCTAGTAGAACGGATTTTGAGTCAACCAAATGGAACTTCATCAACGGCCTCCATCAAGGCTCTGCATGACACTACAAAGGAATGCATGCTAGCCCTCAACAATCTTCAAATCGACACAACGTCTTGGGATGCTCTATTGATTCAATTGATCACAAAGAAATTGGATCACGCTCTGTACATACGATTCATGCAATCACTGGCGAATCCGAAGGAAGTTCCTACTATGAAAGAGCTGTTTTCATTTTTGGAACTTCAATTCGAATCAATGGAATCGATTGGAAAAGCGGCATCTACGCACAAGGGTTCAACCAAAACTGTTTCGTCCGTAACATCAGTGGAGGATCACAGGAGTTGTAAACTATGCAAGAACGACTCCCATCCAATTTATCATTGTAAGAAGTTCTTGGCAATGACAGAAGGTGAGCG